AGCAATTTAATGTTCTGTACTTCTTGTTTTTGCTGTGCTGACGTCATTCCAAACACATTACTAGTATATTAGTTTAGATTTCGTAATCTTCTTCATATTTCAGGCTCTGAAGTGCAGATAAACGAGCAGCGTTTAATCTGAGAGACACCGAGAGGTTAAAGCTCACGTTAAAGATCTCGTCCGACCACAACCTTCACAGCTTCAGACCGCAGCGATGGCCAGAGCGAGCCTGAGCTCACTTCCTGTGCAGAAACACCGAGAAGACCAGGAAGTGCTTGTTGCTCCGTGTGTTTAAAGGCTGCGGTGTTTATTATGTGCAGAATCTGAGCGACGACAATCTGCGCTAACGGGTTTACAGCAGGTTCAGTGTGTTTCTGGTCTCGTGTCTTCTGCTGCATCTCAAAACCTGCATCTGTGTGATGACGTGTTAACGTGAGGGTCGGGCAACAATAAGCACATCTTTAGTATTTTCTTTCATCTAACGGTAAGAAAACCACTTCCTCTCCTCCTCCTCCTCCTGCAGCTCTAAAAATCCAGCAATTCCTTCTGTTCTTACACTTTCTTGATGCTATTTCAGCGATATTTCACATAAAACCCGCCTGTAAAGCTGCTGGAGAGTTAATGTGAAGGTAAGACATGTGCCTGTGGGATACCTGAGGTAGAAGCTCTCTCCGTAGGGCAGCACAGAGAAGGCAGCACACAGAGACCGCTTAGCACAGATGAGCACAATCCTGCAACACAAACAAACAAACAAACAAACAAACATTGGTGGTTACTGTTCTGATTGAAACCCCTTCGAGGTGCAAACACTTGCAGCAAAACACAGAAAATCAGCTCAAAGCATTCACCGACCGTCCAAATAGAACCGGTGCTAATAAAGTTCACACTGAAGTCGGCTGAAGCTTCAACCTCACAAGATTTTTTTGTTTAAGAAGCAGTTTGTTAAATAGCTGCTCCCACTGATTAAAAACCATAAATACGTTTAAATCTTCTGCAGGGATTTGGAGTCGACTCTACGAGAAAGACGGTGACAGTGAGAAGAAAAAGGTTTAAAGTCTTTTTATACAGTAACCTTCTGGTTTCAGCTGCATGTAAACTGTTCCTGTCATTTTCCTCTTGTTGTGCAATAAAGATCAGAACTAAACGAACTGATTTAATGTCGGTCGCAGTGGTTTGCATCTTTCCTTCGCTCTTGAAATGAAAACTTCTCTGCATCTGCAGACGTCTCAGCGTCATATTATACTAAATAAAATGATCTGGCGTCCTTTGCAGGCTCAGGCTGATCTAGATGCAGCGAAGCCGAGCAGACGTCTGGCTGTACCTGTGAAGTGAACATATTGTGAGGAGGTGGACGCTCTGCAGAGCTGCAGTCTGGAAATAAAACACGAAACCAGCAGGTTTTAAATATGAAAATCCACACTGCTGCTCAGCGGGAGGTTCGTGTTGGTCCCCGCTGAGGAGCAGCACACACTCCACACTCTCCTAATTGGATCTTTTCACCCTCGACGTGTTGCTACGAGGCTTCGCTGATGCAGAGTTAGTGTGTTTTTTTACTGCAGCTCCTCCAGAGGATCAGCCCGGCGTCGCTCGCCTGGTTTCTGTCTCGGGAGGATGATGTTTACAGTCATTACGTTCGGCTCGAGAGACTCCAGGATGATTCATGGACACATTTATCTCCGACTCGATCGCGTACGAGCCCCGTTTTCGGCCACTCGGAGGCCTGGGATCGGCCACACAGCGTCTGGGTTCCTCTCAGATCACGGCCCAGCCGGTCCAGAAGCTCCCAGTTTGAAAATTCAGCCAAATCAGACGGAGCGGCTCTGCAGTTAATCACAGCGCTGGCACACAGACGTGATTCCAGCAGTTACGTAACCCGGATTAAACAATATTGGCAACAAAAAGCAAACGTATTCTTAATCAGTGTTTTCTATAATTCCAGATCCAATTCCAGCTGTGGCCTATTTGTCGTCTGTTAGCCAGGTTTAAAAAAACAGAACAAAGGCAGCCAATAAACATAAACGAAGCTTTAATTGATTCACAGGTCGACGAGCTGCTGGTCTGATGAGTTTTCTACACGCTGCAGCATCAACGCTGGCTTCAGATGAAAGCATTCGCCTGATTTATGACGTGAAGAGATCTGATTTCATTTAGACGTCACAATAAAAGAGTTTTATGGAGTGGAGGATCATTAACTGTGCTTTTGTTAGATCCTGGAATACATGAAGAAGAAGAAGAGGGAGGAGGAGGAAAAGAAGAATAAAAAGAAGAAGAATGAAGAGAAAAAGAGGAAGACAAAGAAGAAAAAGAGAGAAGGAAGAAAAGAAACAGAAGAAAAAAACAATAATAACAAAAGGAAGTTGAAGAGATAATAAAATATTAATAAAAATAATGAAGGAAGAATAATTAAAAGAAGAGGAATAGTTAAAAAGAAGAGGAATGAAAAGAAAATCAGGAAGACAAAGAAAAAAGAAAAAGAATAAAAAGGAATAAAAGAAGAAAGAAGAAGAAAAAGAAAAGATGAAGAAAAAATAATAAAAAGAAAAACAGTTAAAGAAATAATAAAATATTAATAATAAAAAATAAAAGAAAAATTAAAGGGAAGAAGAAGAATGAAAAGAAGTGGAAGAAAAAGAAAGATGAAGAAAATGAAAAGAAAAAGAAGCAGAATAAAAGAAAAAAATTAAAGACAAGAAAAAGAATGAAAAGAAAAAGAGGAAGACAAAGAAAAAAGAAAAAGAATAAAAAGGAATAAAAGAAGAAAGAAGAAGAAAAAGAAAAGATGAAGAAAAAATAATAAAAAGAAAAACAGTTAAAGAAATAATAAAATATTAATAATAAATAATAGAAGAAGAAAAAATAAAAAGAAGAAGAATGAAAAGAAGTGGAAGAAAAAAAGATGAAGAAAATGAAAAGAGAAAAAGAAGAAAGAAGAATAAAAGCAAAAAAATTAAAAGAAGAAGAAAAAGAAAAGGAAAGAATGAAAGGATGAAGAACAATAAAACAGAAGAATAAAAAAAGACGAGGAAGAAGAATGAAAAGAAGAAGATTCAGAACGATGTGGTTGTTGTTTGTTTTACAGGCATCCTGGTGAAAAATTCATATTATTATTATTATTACTGGAGACTGAGTGAATAATTCAACAGAACTAATAAAGCGACCGTTAACCTGATTGCTGACGTTTTATGAAGCAGTTTGTCGTCGATAAGAAGAAGTACAGAGGTTCAGCTGAAGCTTCAGACGTAACCTGAGCTGGAAACTGAAGATCAGCTCAGAACAAATCATCACTGCTTGAATCTGCAGCTGATCCCACGAGGAAGAAGATTACCAGTTTAATGATGCTGTTGGTTGCCAGACAGAGACACACACACATAAACAGACATAATGGTGCATGGGAAAGTGAGGAGCAGAGTCACCAGGGAGGAACTCCAGAAACGTGACTCTGCTGTTTATCACGACGGCTTCACGACACCGAGGGCAAATTGTTCCGTCGTCGCCTTCAGGAGACGGCGTTCCCAGAGGGTCGTCTGCCGGCCAGCGCTCACAGTCATGATGACAAAACAACAAAACAAACGCAAGAGAAGGAGGGAAGAAAAGAGCAGAACATCCTGGAAGGTTTTCTGGTTCGGCTCGTATTTGACATGTGGACATACGTTGAGTCACAAGTTTCACAAAGTCCTTTATAATAAAACAAATTAGAAAACAAGTTCAATTAATAAACAAAGAAGACATTTTTATACGTCCTTCAGCAAAAGTGATCATAAACGGCTTCACAAAAGTAAATAATGAGACTAAACACTGCAGCTAAAGGCCTCTAGTGTTGTTTATGGTGTGAGTAGTTTAAATATCAGATAAAATTATATAAAATACTGCTTTAATTAACTATGATACACGTTAAGCTGAGACCCTACAGTGTTATTAATCATGGAGTAGAAGTCAACTCATGTAATATTAAAGCTTTAAGCTACGGTGTTATAAATGATCCTAATTAATGTAAATGTTCTGGATAACTCTTTTGGTGCAGCTGTAAAGCCAACAGTGACTTATTCAGCATGTCTCATTTAAAAAAATGTCCTAAAAAATCCACCCTTTGCTCGAACCTGATTCTTTAAAAAACAAAAAATTCTTTGGCTCAACCGTGAAGCCTTCAGCGACTCAGCTGCTGCCGACAGTCACCTGACAGAAATTCTGACTTTTTAGGTTAGAAATTGAACCGTTTTGATGTAAAAAGTAGTTAAATATCTGAGTTCTTTTCTCTCAGTGCTGGCAAAAATGTTGTGCATGTCGACTCAACTTTTTTGTAAATAAATAATCAAAGAAATTCAACTTTTGTTGTTTATTTTTGTGTGATTTATGGCACTGATGTTAAACTTAACCAAGCTTAAAAATCACAATATTTCATCAGATTCTCTTTATTCTATGTGTCAATGAAAATAAAATGCCAGAAACAGAATGTTTACTTTAACCAAAATCTGTAAAAATAAAAATAAAAATTCTGCACTTCCTGGCGTCACCAGGGAGCCTTTAGTGACTCAGCTGTGACCGACAGTCGCACGAGAAAAATCAATTTGTTCATTCATTGTTTACTTTAACCAAAATCCCTTGAGGCTAAAACCCTACAGTGGGACTAAACTTCTTTTTTCTTGAGAAATATCACTTCTGGGACCTTTGTGATGAACCCTGGCATCCCTCAGGGTCGTGCACTGGGTCCCATGATATTCACACTTTACACCCACAACTGTGCTACGAAAATAAGAATATTCTCTAATTTACAGACGACACAACGACAGCAGGATAAAAACAACAATAAAGCTGCCAGCTGCAGGCAAAATTCTTTCTATTCTACATGTCTCACTATAAAAACAAACGCCAAAAATAAACAGTTTGGTTTAACAAGATTCTGTAAAAAAATAAAAATTCTGCACCTCTCTGCACAACCATGAAGCCACGAGTGACGGAGCTGTGAGCTACAGTCACGTGGCAAAAATTCAGAGATGTTTCACTTGTGTGAGCGTTAAACAAAGTCTGATATCACATAAGACATGGTGCAGAGCTTCAGAGAGTTCTCCTTCATGTTTACTGCATATCTTCCACGTGTCAGACAGGAAACTTGCTGAATCTTTAGTTTTTAAGGACACGAATCAAAACCTCCGCTATCATTTCCTAGTTTATGATTAGTTTAGGGTTTCCAGAAACTGCTGGATTTTGTGCAGAAACGTGCTGAATCTTGGACATTTTTAACGATTATCTATCGAGATGTTCTGACTCGTCACTCACACGGGATAAAAATCAAGATTTTCCGACGACCTCACGGTGCAGAAATGTCAGCGGCAGGTTCTGATGGACCAGAACACCGGCGACGACAGCGATCCGATCTATTTTGAGACAATCACCTGTCAGCCTGTTTGTCGTCGACCCACAGGTCTGATTTATACGCTCGGCGAGGAAGGACGGGAATAGAACACAACACAATAGAAGAGGAACCGAGCAGAACAACACGACGGAGTCCAGGCGCCTCCATGTGACGCTCAGAAAGACGCTGGCAACGTCTGCAAGTCGGCACATACAGGAGGTCACGGAGCGATCACTGAGGAGGTACGATCACTGAAGAACCCCAACAAGTAGCGACTAGAAACACCTCGGCTTCTTTAGGAATCATCTCGGTTTCAGTTCCTCACAGCCGATATTTAGAACCGATAGACAACAAATGTGATGTTTTAACAGCACGTGACAGCAGGAATTCATAACCAGCTTCTTCATTAACAAGAGTGACCATAACTGAATACGTAAACTAGAAATAGGAGCGATTCAATTATGACGCTTTGACATAAAATTCTCTAAAATGACTCAAAACTTTTTCAAGAGCTGAACAAGATGACTTCAAATCTGACAAAAATGACTCAATAATTTTCTAAAATGACTCAAAACGTTGTCAAAGTGATTCCAAATTCTTCACAATGATTAAAAGGATTAAAAAGTCTTCAAAATGGTTAGAAAATGTGTCCAAAATGACCTAAAAGTGGACGAAAAAGACCCAAAACACTTTCAAAGTGATTCGAAATTCTCCAAAATGTATTAAAACGTTTCCAAAGTGACTCAAAAAATCTTCAAA